GACCATTGGTCAACAAGGAGGTGAGTCATATAAGCATATAATTAATAAGCTGTTCTTATAGGTTAACTGCCGTTTACTTGTTACTGACTTTGCAAAACTTTGTGTCTTTGTTTTTTTCAATTTGGTAGACCCTAGTCTGGCTTTCATACAGAACCTCCAGCAACAGATTGGTGCAGAGTCACAGTTGCAGTCTTTACCACCAGCAGTACAGAAAGCTATCCTTTTACACCTGACACAGCAGCAGCAACAACAAGAGTCAAATCCACAAGGGAGTGAAGCACAGAGAGCAGATGGCCAGGATGAAAGTGCAAGCAGAGGCAAGTGTCCATGGACGGCTTTATTGAGTTAATTAAGATTAGATGAAACCCAGGGAGCAAGATTGGAACAAAGTGACCTATTCAACTCAGAATTATCTAAATAAGTGCGTATACACAGATAACACCAAAAAGACTCTCCTTTAAACTTTCTACCTCTACTGGAGAAGCTAAAAAACAACATCCAGTTTTGGAGGACACTCCCTATCTCATTGATAGGAAGAGTGAACTCAATAAGGATGGTCTTTCTCCTGCAATATCTGTATTTGGTCCAAAATATCCCAATTTTCCTGCCCATAGCTTTCTTCAAAAAGCTGGATGCCATTATTATGCCGTTTATATGGAACTACAAAACACATAGAATAAAAAAAAGAACATCTTTGCAAACACAGATCCCTTGGAGGACTTGCACTACCTAACTTTATGTATTATTACTGGGCATCAAATTTAAGAATAATTTCCCTCTTACTGGATGATACAGCGTTACTCCCCCATGGTCTGCAGATGGAGCGGGAGGACTGCCTTCCTTACTATGTTGGTGGAATATTACTTTCTCCTACTCCCTTGACAAGTGCATACTATAATTATAACCCAGTGATCCATACCATTTTGCGAATTTGGAAACAAATAATTAAGCACTTTAAACTGAAACCATTATCAATGAGTATGCCTGTTACAGCTAACCCCTCTTTCCTTCCATCATGTGCAGACGGTGCTTTCAACGTGTGGCATGAACTGGGAATTCGTAAATTAAAAGACTTGTATTCAAACAATACCTTCATGTCAGCCATTTTTTAGATATCTTCAACTACGAAATTATATCCGCACACATTTGCCGCAGTTTGAAAGCATGCCGTCTGACACCTTGGATAGATGCCTTAGTGATAGCCGGGGGTTTGAACAGAGAATCTCATTATTCTATAACTCACTACAGGAGATGAGTGTACCTTCAACTCATTCAATTAAAGAGGAGTGGGAAAAGGAATTTGGGATCTCCCTATTGGAAGACTTTTGGCAGGAGGTCTCACACAACATAAATACGCTTTTTATTAATTCCCGTCATTGCTTAATTCAGTATAAAATTGTACACAGGTTACATTACTCAAGGGAAAGACTTCACAAAATTTATCCAGACTGCTCTCCCCTCTGTGAAAAATGTATGACACATTATGGAAATCTGTTACATAGTTTTGCACTTTGTCCAAGGCTTCAGGGTTTTTGGTGTGACGTTTTTACTTATCTATCTAATATTCTTAAAAACAAGATTGATCCAAATCCAACATTAATTATCTTTGGGATCTCCAAAGAAACACAAAGCCTACAACATGCTCAAAAAAGGTTTATGTCATATGCGCTGATCATCGCAAAGAAACTGATCCTGCAGCTTTGGAAAGGCCTGTGTTAAAGATGTGGCTTGCAGAGCTTACAAATACACTTCACCTTGAAAAAATAAGATATACCATGAATAGCAATGTGAAAGATTTTGAACTAATTTGG